GGTGAATATCGAGGCTGAGAGTAAGTGCAACTGCAACTTCAACTCACTCATAGCCCTCGGAGATCTTTATTAGGTTGACTGTATGCGGCTGTTTCGCGAATCAAAATGGAATTCCAGGTCTGCAATGCCTCGAACTGGACAAGCTGGAAGAAGTAATTACGAAAGTAGTTGGTCCAAATCGGTCAGTTCTTTCTCGATGCATTGCTGGAAAATGAATGATGGGGTAGCAACATGTGGCGTCGTTATCTCAAGTATGGTCTGCAGATCAAATTCAGCATCAGCTCTCGTCAGGGCAAGGGCAAGTGTGCCCCCCTCCATTCTCTCCTGCAACTTTCAGACGGGACAGAACAATGGAAACAATAAGCTATAACATCGGCTGATTCCAACAAGTTAGACGTAATCCAAGTGCGCACTCAAATGCACTGAGATTCGAATGAATAATAGCAATTAATACTGACCTACTAATGGTGAATTATGTTTCGTTGATAACTTAACATGCCCCCAACCTTTAGCATGGCTTCCTCCATGCTGGTCGCGCTGTTCGAATGTGAAAAAACACTGTGAAGCTTTAAAGGGTTTATGAAAAAGGCTCAGAAAATTTAAAAAGGTCAAAAAATTATGAGTATTTTCTGACGATCTCTCAGAGTCGAGCGCCTTTACCAAGCCCGAAACAGTTTCACGTCGTCTTCTATTCTAACCTCTTTACGATTAGCTAAGATATTCTGCCTTTTGTTAGCTGGCTTACTAGCTGCTACTCACGAAAGCGAAAACCTTTGTTGCTCTGTTTGTGAGCCAGAAACTGGTTCCTACGCTGTACCCCTAACGCGGACATGATTGTAAGGTGTTAAGAGCAGCAACGGCAACATTTTGAGGAAGAAGCAAGTCCAGCACAAGGCAATATGTGAAGGTTACTTTACTAAGCTTCTGAACGACTCTCTCCACTAAACAACCCACGAGCAGAGCATGCAGCTGGCCCATCGCATTCCGAGTAGTCGGAAGTTCGACGAGCAGCAGGGAACATGAAGGTTGAAAAAGCGGCTGGTCTCGATGGAGAACCAGTAAAGGCCCGCAAAGCGCTTGAAAAGCATGGGAAAAAAAGAGGTTTAACCACTTCCTTGAGCACACGGTAAGTGCGGAAGAAAGGATGCCGTATGATTGGAGAATAGTTGCTCACCCGCTGTTCAAGACGGAGTGGTGACGAGAAGGGTTGTTCCACCTACTAGAAGTTGAATGCTCGTAACGTGAAAGTTGTTTAAGCGGCAGGCTGACTCCAAGCTAAGAGAGCTTTTGACAATTCTCGAGTGTGAGTCTAATCGTTTTGAAGATCAAAAATTTTTTGAATTTTGCCCTGGCGATTATTTTCCAAGCTCTTATATGAAAGTATATTTTTGCTAACAGAACGTGGTTAAATGATCTGGCTGCATGGGCTCTGAGAATTACCGAGTATCCACAAGTGCAATTACCAAAGTCTTGCAAATGGACGTCTGCTCTACGGACATTCGGATTTGAAGGAAGAATGAAGGAGAAAGTACGCAAGACGGTGAAATCCAGCAGGGACTTCTGAAGAAAGTAAGTCGTTGCTTTGGTCAAATCGTTTCAGTAGAGAAATCTTCGCACGCTCATCGAACAGCATTTTCGATACTATTATATTATATCTTGGATCTATTGGAAGAGGTGACATGAGAAAGCCCACAAAGTATTACACAGTGTTTATGCCAATGGCGATGTCGAAAGGCACAAAATTCCCTCGCATTCGAGTCGATTAGCTATATTAAATTCAAGACTTCTTCTTCGCGATGGAAGATAGTGGGTCGAAGTGGTCACTCAAAATGAGATATACCAGCTAATGCGTACAGAAGTTAATCTCAAATCTTTTCTATAACTGCTTACCCTAAAAAATTAGTCAAAATTAGAAAGGTTCCCTGCCAGTAAGGTGTTCACAAATGTGTTTGACACCAATGTCGGTATGTCGTTGAAACGCGAAAACTCCTGCTGTGCGTTACAAGCTCATTTACTGAAGGGGCCCACCACATGGTGGAAGGTCGAAAGGGGGGGGGGAACTTACCTAATAGAAAGACAGACAGAAGCTTCAAAGATACGGACCGACACGCAATTCGCAGTGAAGATATGCCCCGGCGATCTAGCATGGCCCTCTCGCGGCGCCATCGGCGCGGTACGCCCACTGACTGATTAGCCAATCGGTTCTGGTCTAGCCGTCTAGCAAGAAAGCGTTAGCATCGATGAGAATCGCATCAATGTGGAAATCAACGGAGTAAGAGATGTTCCCATTTTTCCAGTTCTGGGCCGTCTTTGGTTTTTCTTAATCCCCCCACCACAGACCACCTCTACCTTAATTATAAATGAGCTGCCTACTAATTGTAATTGTAACTACGCCTCTAAGGGCCACAAACTTATGTTGCGATTCCTTTGAAGAGTGCGAAATGATGTGTCCATGCAAAGTGATCAAGGGATTCGAGAACAAATAAGTGTTCAGAAGTGTCCATCCTTATATGAGTCTCCGAGGCATTTCCTAAACTGACTGAAACGGTTCCATTTGGCATACAACAATTTTTGATGACTGAGTTTCTTAGCCATGCAAAGGCGCTTTCCGAACGTATAGGCACACTTCCGCAAAGATGCTAAATCGATTATCAAGAATCTAAAGCCTTGCAGACACGAGACCGGCTTAGTAAACGCTGGGCCACCAATCCACATCCAACCATCGCATGCGGCTTACACATACTGAGTCTGACAAGGGAAGGATACCAGGTCGAAGTGGCCATTTGTAACGAGACATACACCACTAGATGTGTTTTTGGACGCTGATCTCGAATCTGCTCTCCAAATCTGCGGAACGATTCTCTGAACGTAGTTATGAAGCGTGATAACGTTGTTTAGGGGATTCTTATCCATGCTAACAAGGAAGCAGGTCAACCCCCTACGTTGTTACGAGTAACAACGGGGGGGGTCGTACCTGGTTGAGTTTGTAGGAGGGGGGGGGGTCGTACCCACTTTAGTCGCTCGAAATCACGTGGGATTGAGGTGAAACTAAGATTTTGTGGTTCCGTGGGTAAATTTGCCGTTTCAGAGCGCGTATATACCCCCGCTCGACGGCATTTTTGGAGGAAAAAGTGGGCGGGGTTTTGATGGAAGATGGAGATGGTGGAGGTAGGGAAAAGGGGGTCGTATCAAATCC